CCCTGGTTAAATAAATGTATAAAACTTAACATGTGGTTTGTTTTTGTAAAGTTTATCAAAATACAGTTAAACTTATCAAAGTAAGCAACATGTAGTAACTGTTAAGTAATCTGTCACTCTGTCAGCTATCAGAAACGCATTTTTTTTTTATAATATCGAGTGACGGGACGAACAAATCTTACTACACGCCTGCCCATAACCCGTCACTCTGAGACATAAGTTGACAAGTCCCATGTGCCTGTAATTTCACCCTTCAAAACTGGAACATAGTAATGCTGACATTACTGCTTGGCAGTAGAAATAGGTAAGGTGGGAGTACTTACCTGGACGAATTCTTTCCCAAGGAGCTCTACTGCTATTTTAAGTTGATGAATTTATAAAAAAACCGCAAATAAAGGCAAAAAAAACCGTAAAAAAAGGGGCTTATGAGGCAAAAAGTTTGGGAGCCGCTGACCTAGACCATGATGGTCCCGGAGCGTCTATGTGGGCTATATAGGTCACGGGATGTTCAGGTGGAGACGTCTTCCTGCTGATGATAAGTAAGTTTCTGAGAAATAATTCACTTTTATTTTTATCCCAAACCAATTAAATAATAATTACAATGTACAGTGCGCTAGCAATTATTTTAATACATTCAATCTGGATCTTAATTCAAATGGGCCTTTGGTAAGAAATGCACTGAATGGACACGTGCGATTTTCAACAGCGATTTTTCGCTATTCTTTATATGTGATATTAGGTTACTACTAGGTTACTGCTATTTGTGAAGACCTATAACATGGCTTTCAGTTATTTATTGTTACCATTGAGACTAGCTTTACAAGCTGTTGGTCCTGATTACAAATAAATGAATAATGTTCAATTAGTCATTCTCATACTTATGCCATTAGTCACCTAACCTGAAGGCGTAATTTGCAAAACAAGTGTGGGTAATACCGACAGCGCCTCGAAAAAATCTTAACATCTTTTTTGTTAAACACGTTGTTAAATTTAGTTGTGTTCTCTTTTATTACATACCATGGTAATAATATAATTAGCATGGGTTATGTTAACCTTAGTTATCTGCAACTGAGTCATAGATAAATTGGCAAATAGCCAAGTTTTATTGAAATCGGTTAACGGAAAGTGGGTGAAATGTAATAAATCGAATTCTTCTCCTAATTTGCCATCCTTAGAGGTGGAATAGTTTCTTCCAATTTTAATAAGACCACTACTAAGGTACCCCTTTTTCAACATAAAGAATTATCGAAATTGGGTCAAAACTGTCGGAGTAGTCGCGTGACATACACAAAAAAGTACAATAAACTTGAGAACCTCCTCCGTTTTTTCAAGTCAATAAAAAATACAAACGGTGAAAACATTATTATATACAATAAACGAAATAAAGTTATTTTATTTTTTATAAATTTTAAATAATAATAATAATATTTACAAGTTTTTGCTTACTGTTTTCATATAATTAAAAAGGAAACGATCTAGAAATAACAGTTTACAACACAGCATTAAGTTAATGCAATCGTTAGTAATCGCCGTGTTAACTTCCTTAAGAACAGTGACGCAAATTGTGTTGATATATACTCAGTGTGAATCATTTCCAATACATAATCGATTTATCGTAATGATAGTTATGTATGTTAAAGGTTGTTTGATTCATCCAAAGCAAGAGTGAGAACTTTATCTTGATTGCAGACAACTTTGCTAAATGTCAAGGGGCGTCTGCAACTGAGAATAAATGCGTGTTACGCTACAGCAACAATACCAAAGTCATTTGGGACACCGTGTATTTCTAAGCACGCATGACGGATTTAAATATGCCGTATGTAAAATAGGCAGAGATCTCAAAACTCCAATTGCTACAATCCTGTACTTTTCTTCTACTTCCAAAAATTCGCATGTCATTCATGTAATTTCTTCCGCTATTTTTGACGTTTTATGCAAGCTGGTTTTCGAATTAAATTTTTTTAACTATCTACGAAGTACACTTGAGAAATGGTCGAATCAATAAGCATTTAATCTGTAGTCAATATATTTTAATAAAATTATTCTTATTAGTTTAAACTAAAGTAAAGGGCCGTGTGTATTAATTACGTTTAAAACACAATATACTAGAAACTATAACTGTTTTTTATGATACTCCGCGACGGAACGGACAAGTTGTGCGCCTGGTGGTAAACGATACAGTTATCCATAGCAGTTGCAGTGCCACTCAGAGCTTTAAATAGCATAAACCTGAGGGGCACTGCTATTGGACACGTCGTAAGTTGACAAGTCCCAAATGCCTGTAATTAATTTCAACAGCACCCTTACCCTTCAAACCGAAAGGCAGTAATGCTCACTTTGCTGTTTGATGGCAGACATATTATAAAAGGTGGTAGTACTTCCCTGGACGCTTAACGCTGAACTCTTTCCCGAGGAGCTCCTCAGCTACTTACTAGGATTTATTTTCCCAATGCCATATCGACTGTGAACTGGCAATCGGTACTATCTCAATTTTGACAACTTTACAGGTGAAGAGAAAAAAATCTGATTTATTAAATGATTTATAAAATAAACCACATAGTTTTTAAATATTTTTATTACACATACACTACGTATTTTTATTTAATAAACCAGGTGCTGTATAAATGACGCAAACAATTTTTTTCTTCGTCGTGTAAAGTTGCCAAAATTGAGATAGTACCGGTTGCCAGTTCACAGTCGATATGACACTTTTATCTCGGGAAAATATTTTGTGAGGTATCACAAGCAAAATGTGATTTATATAAAAAAAGCATAAATATATTTTGGCTTGTGCTGAGATTGTAACGGCGTAGAAAAACAAATCAATTCATACATTATATAATCCACACGTGTGGAAAAACCCCAAGCATCTTGTCATTTTAATTTTTATTATAGTACAAATTGTATTATAAAAGACCATACACATATCTATTGTAAGAATTTGAAATTAAGCATGATTATGTCGAAATTTGTCAAATCATGGACATAAGGAATAATATTTGACGTACACACAAAAAAAACTACATAATTATAATGATTTTGTTGGCACTAAAATTTGTTTAAAAATAGAACAGAAAAAAAAAAATTCTTTGGGCGTGACGAGAATGAATGAATAATTTAATAGATGGAACCTTAGAATAATAACGCATAGAATGATAGTTTCATACCAAACGAACTGTCACAAGTGAGGCAAAAATCAAATTCATGTAGGTTAGTTTTAGTAGTAGGTTAATTTTCTGTTTTAGTGAATATTTATATAAAAATACAAGTAGAAACGCGTTACTTCCTTGTGGAATGTGATGTTAGTACCTATTTTATGTTTGTCTGACGTATTTTCATACTCATTTACCGCACATTTTGTCATTTTTAGATAAAATTCTTGATCTGTTGACCTTGAGCACTGAAGCCCGCCCGCTCGTGTAGGTCGATTGGGAGCGCTTCAATTTGCCTCACTTATCGTGTGCGGACTAGGTTTCTATGCGTTATTATTCTAAGGATAGAACTAACTAAAAAGCTAACAATAAGCAATGAGTTTCCAATGGCGAGATTTTATAATCTCAAAAACAAATGACAAATGTTTCAAGGCCCAAAAACTTATTTAAAAACGGAACAGAAAAATTAAATTAAAAACTCGTTGGCGTGACGAGGATAAATGATAAAGACATACAGCCAGAATCATTGAAAGAAATAAATGATGGGATAATGCAAATAGGAAATGAGTTTCCGATGGAAAGATTTTATATACTCAAAAATAAATGGTAAATGTTTTGAAACATTAGCAGATCGTTTATTTCGTGGATCGTTAATTTTTTCGCTACGTCACATCGTTCTAGGGTAGGTGATTAACGCATCCAGTAATTATTGTACTTAAGACGCATAAAAAGAACAAAAACACTTTTTCCTTATTCGAAGAGCATTTCACAACTTAATCTACTGGTTTTTGTTATAACATACGCAGCTCATGCAAAATCCAAAGTTATTTTTAATTTCATTTAAAAAGCAATAAATCTCTGCTTTTGGTTAAACTTCAGTAAAAAGTTTTTATATTAGTATAAATTCGAATGTCTCTGCGATAGACTTAATAAAGAACGTGATTGTGATGTAAGTTGACTTGTTGTTTATTATACAGTAATTTCATATTATCACGATCCTGAAGGGTATTTACAGTGCAATTAATAAAATGTAACATAAATAACATTTGACTGACGTTACTTAATATATGAGTTAATTTTGCCAGCGAATTAGGCGTTATTTACGCACGAGGCGCGACGACCTTAATTCAGGTCGTATAAGCATGAAATTTGTGATTTATTTTGTATTTACGCAACTATGACTAGCCGTGTAAAGCCCCATTTGTACAACATGGCTCTAATGCACCATGGTAGAGAATGTATGAATGTTTTATGAGAAGTGTCCCAGGCTGCACGACGGAGCTTTTAGTTATTTCGTAATTCATATAGTATGGATTTATTTTTTCTGGTTTGATCATGGTTTTTCAAAATCTATATTAAAAGGATTCTCTTGTCTTGAAAAATAGTCACAAAGATATATAGTAATTTTGAAGCTATGTTGTTTTTTGCGGAGTTTTACGGATTGATTACCAATGATGGCGCAACGAGTAAAAAGTCGTTGAAAAACCAAATACAAATACACGACAACAAGTACATAGAAAAATTCGTGAGGTCCGCTGCTGGTACGTTCCGTGGCTTAGTTGGTATACCGTCTGGCATGGTATGCTAGAAGACGTCGGTTCGAATCCGGCCCGATCGAAGGAATTTTTTCTGAGTGTTCGATCTTTGTATTAATAATTATAACAAAGTATTATTATTTAACGAGAATCTTGTCACCACATGAATCTACGATCATCGATGTTAGTTTCTTGATAGTATCTACTGAATGTTATTGAGTTTGAATAGTTAATATTTAAGAAAGGATCACACTTCTTTCGTATGGATCACCCTCCCAGGGCTGTTCTTTTAAATTATTCATTTTATTTACAGGCACCTCAATTCATTACTTTTAAAGACGGCGCGATTGGTGTGAATTTCGCGGGATATCACGCATCGGCAGGACTTGGCGGTATATTGGGTAAGACGAAGGTCTTCTTTATTTTTTACTTTTTTAAATAAATCAGCATTTGAATCCATCTCACCTGATGGAAAGTGACAATGAGGTCGATGATGGAGCATGCGCACTTAAATCATGCCTATTCATTTTGAAACTCCTGAAAAGGCTGAAGTTATACCGCTCAGGAAAGAGTCTGCAGGTAGGGAATTCCACTCCATAGTCGTTCGCCATATGAATGTCGAAGCGAATTCATGCAAATTCTTGAAATAACCACGACACAGGCGTGGAACCCTTAGCCTATGTCTAGTCTCCAGATGATGGAAAGGGATAGGCGAAATTAAATCGTGCAATTCCGTCACTCACTCTCCGAAAACTTTGTTTGAACTGTCTTGTGACCAGTGATCGAATATTTGGATACTTTTACACCTTAAATTCACTATTTCCCACGATTTGCTGCCGAAGTATGGAAGCGGAGTGTACACATATTTTATAAGAAGTTTACCTGAGCCGGTAATCGAACCATCTAAAAATGCCAAAAATAAATACTCACTATTTTATTGTACTGTTCCATAGAATCAATGATAGCTATAAAATAACTTCAATAAACATTGGATCGCTCAGGCAAGCTTTTATAAAACTTTGTGAATGCAGTTATTCATATTAAGAAAAATAAAAGAATGTTTCTTTTATGTAATATTAGCTATCATAATCATTTAAAGTACCCACTTCCTATTCATGTCCCATTGATTTTTTCCGCCTTGTATGATAAAAGTTAATGTACAAATAACATTTGAAACGTTTATTTTCCTTCAATTTTACACTGAATAATTTTGATCAATACCGGTATTGAGGGATTTTTCGATACAAAAGCGTATCGTAGCTGGAAGTTGTTCGATGCAAAAGATAATTGCCTAAATACGTATTCAGCAATTAAAACATGTGTCTGAAATTTTTTTAAGTGACTAAAGGCACCCAAGAGACTGTACAGAGTTCTTATATTTTACTATGCACCGTTTATGAAGACACGGTCAACAGATCATCAAGCCATATATTCATTTTAGTTCATATATTGCCTCCAGCGCAATGGTATAGTATGTAGCTTGAAGTGTATTGCCATCTGTACTATGTATATTTATCCTGAGTACATAATTGTATATCAATCAAGTACAACAGAAAAAGAATGCAATACCTTTGAAAAGGTCGCTAATCCTTTCACCTGAAAGATGTCGCAGTAAACCTCTTTGTGAAAGAGTTCATCCAGGGAAACACTGCCACCTTACCTATTTCTGCCGCCAGCCTGTAATGTGAGCATTACTGCGTTCCAGTTTTGAAGGGAGCTGGTCAAATTACAGGCACATGAGACTTGTTAACTTACGTCTCAAGTTGACGGACGCAATGGCAGTGGCCCTCAGACCTTTGCGATTTAAAACTCTGAGCGGCATTGGAACTTCTATGGACAGGCATGTCGCTTACCACCAGGCGCATGACTGCGCTGTCACTTGGTATCATTTTTTTTTGACAGGTGGAGGAACTGGAGGTGGCTTATTCGCTTCAGCAGGAACACCGTACGGTCAGTCAGCCGGTGCTGGCTTGGGAGGCGCTGTCGATAAGTCAGGACAAACAGCTGGTATGACCATTTTAATTCAAGGACACCTATTATACACTATTAAAGAAAACACAGTTTGATTTAATAATAAAAACAGATTCTTGTTTATCGAAGAACTTCAATGATAATACACAGTAGTTTAACAGTTTTGTTTTTGACAGTTTTGTTAAGTATACTTGGGTAGACTACCGTGTTACCTATACCCTTCGCCAGGGCTCCTTCCACAGACATATGTATATCTAGATAGACGCCGCAAGTACAGCAATTTGTATGAAAAACAAGCATGCCATATTTTTTGTACCCACTATGACGTCACAAGAACTATTTAGTGATGGAAACCTTCCGCTCGCCTAATTCGATTGATTGAACGGAATACGCATAAAGACGTGTATTCCATTTAATTAATCGATTTTAAATATAATAATTTTTGTTCAAGTATTTGTTGATTACAATTAGTAAAAAAATACTATAATAAAATAGTTAACTCTTTTATTTTACTTGTTTTTAAAAATATTAATAATAATTCTTTATTGCACAAAGAAAAGACACATGAAACATAAGTTACAAAGGTGACTTATACAAAGGTGAGCTTATAGAAGAGATCTCTTCCAGCCGACCCTAGCCTAGGTGTAAAATGAAGTCTGCGGGACTAATTATTGTACAATAAAATTAATATTTAAATGTGAATAAAAAATAATATAATATATATAAATGATCATAATATATACATATGACAGACGTACACACCTACATATACTTTATATACATAAATACATACATAAGCAGAATAGATATTACTAAAAATGTTGATTACATATAAAAAAATTAAGACTAATTTTTAATCGACTTCAAATATTAAATTTATTGTCCTTCCCATGTTCTTCCAATAAAATGAGCATATTATATAACATCTTTTTGTAATAGAAGATCTTATCGATTAACTTAAATAATGAAAACGCGCGTCAATATATGAACTTGCGACTGTTGGTAATTGATCAAATTGATGAAAATGTTTGTTTATTATTTCTCGGATTTTTAACTCTGCTACTCTGCATATTTGTATAGCATCTTAAGTGGGATAAAATAGACCACCTTCGTCCTCGAAAGCAACGAACTCATACGTATGACCAACACCAGGTTTTTGCAAAGACAGCGCACTGTTAATTCTTTGCAATATATATATTTTTGTATTACTCGTACTACATATCCGGCGATGTATGTAATTATTTGCTCACTATATTCGGACATTCGAGGCGACGTGCTGCAAAAATTAACGAAATTACAGATACTACTGATAATAGATACAAAAAAAAACGAAACGTTACTAAACGTTATAACAAAAGAATTATACAATATTTTTATAATATTGCTGAGGTCATAGTAATAGTCGTCCCTTTGTTTTCAATATCGATCAGAATTGAGACAGTGTTGCCTAACGTACTACTCGTATATATCACTAAATGTTAAATTTGGCCAAAAGAATATACAAGCGGTCGTACCACGAAACTGAATGCATTATACAAAAGTGCGTTCGTTCGATATTCATGGCATACTAAAAAAGGATCACAAATATATCGCAACAAATAAAAGCCGCAATGTATTACAAACATGAGGCATACACTCGGTTGCATATTTGTTTTCTCGAAATTCATACAAAACCAAAATAATTGTTTTTAAAGTAAATTATGAATCTTCTGATTACAAAATCACTTGCCCGTGGAAGGAAACGTCCCTGTTTAACTGTTTACTCACAGTTATGGTGCTTTTGCAGTTTACAATGGCACAATTATACACTTTTCGCGTTTTCGACTGGTGTTTATCTACGATAACGGTCGAGCGCGTTCTGAAGTATGGCAGCGGTAACTAAGTGAATTTGACTTATTTTGGACACGCGAAGTACGTACACTTGCGGCGTCTATCTAGATATTATGTCTGTGGCTCCGTCACTCGCTCAAGGTTACACGATAAGTGCCTACCGCTGAGTGCGCCGACGTCGGCGCAAGCGCTTAAAGAGTGTCGCACGCACATCAGAATGATCGTACGGCACGTTTCGCAAACAAATTGATGAAATGTTGAAATCGCGTCATTATTGTTCAGTGGATGGGTGTAGAAGTGTAGAAGTAGGAATACTCACAATAAATTATCGTTATTCTTTATTTTTATTATAACTACCCACTTTTTATTATCGGCATTAGGTTCCAATTACCTAGGTAAAGGATATTTTATTCATGGAATTTTTATGGCCGTGGTACGTTAAATAGACTAATCTAATAACCATTATAATATTCATCAAGAATATTGATAATACAGCTTATTGAGTCAAAGTGCCACAGAACCACGCCAATAACCTGGTCTCTAACTAGAGAATTCCCTGTACTATGAGCACTAGAGTAAATAAATAATAATTAAATAATTAAATAATGTCACAACCCAGACCAGAGCAAATTTTATTATAGTTCATTTCGAAAATTATTCGAACCGGGAATCGAACCGTCGCTCTCCAATTGAGAGGTGACCGTTCTCCCATCGCTTTACTAAATAAATAATTGTAATTTCAAAGTCTCAGCCCTTGCGCATACGATTCTGCACGACTGCACACGCAACCTTGTATTCGCCTCTATGAGCGCGTGCTTAGGTTCCTTTTCCCTCATAATGAGCACCTGGTGTCAGCGATATTTTGTAGGCTATTATAGCGTAGGTATTTTCGATTTTGTATAAGAGTAATGTATCTGTTACGTAGTAACTATTAAGTAGTCTGTGCCTTTGCTTAGAAAGTGCTCAGCAGTGCCATTTAAGGTCGATATACATATAAACGAATAAAAAGGATTATTGGCCATGCGAATCCATCTTAGTCAAATTTTAATTGACTACACAGTTTGTTGTGGTAAATGAGTTTCGAAAATCAAATTGAAATAAATACATACCTACATGCACTTCACGCCTTATTCCCACCGGGGAAGGCATAGAGGCCTTCCACTTGCAATACAATTGAAATACAAATTACTAATTTAAAAAAAACAATTAACTATTCGAAAAACGCGTACTGATTACCTATTAAATTCAAGTTTACTCGATGAATGTTCTTATTACTTTCACTGCAATCATGAAAATACCTTGAAATATGGAAATGCGAGTACAAAAATGTAAAAAGCCCTAGATTCCTCAAGAAAACTTTAATCGTTCCGACCTAGACACTGCACACAATGACGGTAGTTAGAGTTTAATTGTAGCTTAACAACGCAGCATCTGAAGTCAAAAGGGCAACGCTATTGTGAGTCGGTAATGAGTTAGTATTGTTATTCTTAGTAAAACATATTTTACTGTAGTTTGCTTGTAATATGAATCTCCTCTTAGAAGCGTCACCAAGGAAACTAATGAATTAAATCTTAAAGAAGCTTTTGTATTCCAATTTATGTACAGATTCTTGGAAATGAAACTATTTTACGCATTACTTATTTACACGTATGTAAAATAGATTGGAATGTTCTTTGATCTGTTCAGAATAGGGTAGTTTATATATTAGACATAACTTGTTAATGATTTTACAATCTCAGTTAGCCGTTACCATGGGACATGTAAAGAGCTCAACATGTTGATTTGTTTGAAAAAACCGACTTTAGATGCGAAAAATAGTTTGATTTGTAGTAGTCGCGAAAACCTAAGAACTCCATCTATATACGTGTTTAATCATTCAGTAATCAAACATTTTTATTCTTTCTCCTTACAAAATTGCTAGGTTTTAATGTGAGCATTGTTGCAGGAGGTTTATACGCTGGAGCAACAGCTGGTGGAAATGTAAAAGCTCATGCGGGTCTTGGAGGAGGAGTCACAGGAGAGAAAGCAGCTGGTAGCGGTTTCGCAGAAGCTCAAGCTGGAAACCGATATGCAGCATCAGGACTGGTACGTGACCCAATGGAAAAGGAAAGAAAAAGGCTTGAAAAACTTAGGCGAAAGGAACTTAAACGGCAAAGGGATGCGCTGAAACGCGCAGAAAAAGAAATGCGGAAACATTATACGATTGATTGATTGATTGGTGACGGCAATTCGTTTTTAACTCATAAGTTTATATACTAAAATATAAGTATATATTTTTTACGCTTAATTAAGTGCAATATATATTATAAATAAACATAATTAAGTTTTTTATCGTCTCTTTATTTTCATCCAAAATGGGAAACTACAACCGAGCAACAACAGTATTAACATATATTAACATAACGTCTGAATATCAGCAGAGAAGCGTGGTGTGGTCTGGGTGTTTGGGAGACTAATGTGTCAATTTACAAAAAGGTAATGGTATTCCATTCCCTCGTCTGCATGCAAAATGCACATCGCCATTTCTGGACAAATTTCTTTGCTTTACTTTTAGCCTACGAGCTAGTTCACAAACAAGGATGCTTTTAACTCTTTTGGCACAAATCATTCTGTATTATTTTATTTTCATATATATGCATGGTTTATTGTAAATATATATTTCAATAGCTAATAAGATTTATGTTTCACAGGGAGGAGAAAAATCAGTTGAAGGGTCTTCTGGATTCACGTTCTCAGGATCAAAATCCTTCGGAGTATCAGGTGGATTCGTTAAAGAAGCAGAATTGGCCGCACCAGTAGTTGTTGAAACAGTCAAACCAGTAGTACATAAGACTGTCCACAAGGAAGTAAATCTTGAAGCAGCTAACGAAGTCAAACCATTGCCTTTGGTACCAGTAAAAGCTGAATTTGCTGCAGATGTAAATGTAAAAGCTGAAGCACCAGCTACAGTAATTGTTAAGGAAGTGAGTAAGCTCTTGGGAACAATCAGAGACTATAATAGACGTAGAACTATGGCTAAGTTTGAAAGTGTACTTAGTGGTTTGTTTAGGCCTTCAGGTCATAATCGACGATCACGGCAGAAGCCAAGGCACATTTATGAGTATCGTCAGGTTTGTCTTTGTAAAAATGTTTAAAAAGCACCAGAGGCCTCAGGACCGCCGATAATTTAAGTGTAAAGCACTTATCATCTACGTGAACACTACACTTTCTGTCCCAGTAATATTAAACTCAGAAAATGCTAACATTACGAGTAATTAACAATTTTTTGTGGTTGTGGTAATTTTGTGTCTCACGACAAATGTCAACCAAAGCACGGACAATTAAATTGATTTCCAGTCAAATATCTTTTAAACACCAATATTTTTGTTACAGGTGGAATACTACCCGCCACCACCGCCTCCTCCTCCACCTGTGCATGTCATTGAAAAACAAATATACCGCGTCCGCACCAAGCCCCACCATCACTTCCGTAAAACAGCTTTCGTCGGTGGTTATATAGGAGCCGGTGGTGATGTACCCCCACCACCACCTCCACCTCCTGTAGTAGTATATAAGCCTGTAGTTGAGAAGAGGATTGATGTAGCAGCTGAAAGTGCAGTAGATACTGGAGCTGCTGCTCACGCTGATGTTGGTGGTGGTGGGCAATATACTTTAAGAAAGAGGATAAACTTCCAAAGTAATCCTAATTTCTTCCGAGATATTTTTAATGTGAGTTTATCTATTTTACCATTTTGACGGAAAGATTTAAACAGTTTGAATGAAAGCTTCAAATTGAATGTAAATGTTAGTCATTATCTATAATGACTAATGAGAATGTCGAGTGTCGACCAAATGATATTAAACAATACATTTTCAACTAAAAGGGAGCTTGTATATTCAAATAACATCATTGCATTTAAGTAGCGTGCAGCTAGCATGAAGTAATCAAAAAGTTAACATAGTATTTAATTGCATGTACGTAACTAACATCGAAATATTGTTGTTATTATCAGAACGGTATGATATACATTTAACGTAGAAAAAAAATACATTGTTTACTTTTAACTCTTCTAGTTAAAGGTAGAAAACAAAAGGTCCTATACAGGACGTTGGTAATATTTCCGGTTCATCTATCCCCGGATTACTGGACCTATGATTTAACAAGGCGTACTTTGAAACATCAATATAACGTATTTATTTGTTTATGAATTCGCCACTTAAGTTTGTTTCTTAGAATTTTAAGAATTCAGAGTTGTAAGCTCTAATTTCATTGGTGGTTTTTTCAGATGACACGGTGAAATTAATTAAAAGAACGTCTAAATTAGTTCAATTAAATACCTTTACAGATCCCCATCTCGACCTTAAACGCCGTTGGGAACTTCCTTGGGAATGCTGCCGCCGGCACCAGCGTTTCAGTACAAAAATCCGCAGCCGTACATGCAGGTGGACATTTTGGAAAATAAATAAATATACAATACACTGTCGTAAGACATTTTTAGGGTTAATACAGGAACAACAATGTCATGCATTTGTATTGGCTTTATTAATAAATAGTTATTTTTATAGTAGGTGATGTTATGGATTGTAATTTGAACATTAAATAATGAAATTCAAAGATATTTACTGTAAAATAATATCTTGTGTTTTAACTAAGGATTAGCTTTAAGGATTAGCTGTTTACCATTTTATTGAAATCCTTATACTAATGTAGCGTTACAAAAATAGTTGCTTGAGCATTTAGGGATTTATCTCACTACCTCCTTTGACCTCGTCATTCCGATGGTATTTTTTATCTCCAGCTTTTATTACGTTTTTATTTTTTATGAGGATCGTCTTATCCGCAAACGCGTAGACTAGGAGTTGTCGAGATGATAAATTTATTTTACTTTAGATAAAAATAACAGCTGCATTCAGTCATAAAGCTGCTTTTTTATTACTGTTTTCGTTCTAGATTTTCTTTGGATTGTAAATTTTATGGAAAACTTCTTGGAAAAAATTCTATAATATTGTTTATGTATGTATAAAACCTTTGAGAAGTTTTTGCATAAAAAGGATGTTTGCAACAACTGTAGTCTTACATCCTTTGTAATTAATTATGAAGTGGATTCTATCAAAAGAATGTTTAACTCGTATGATGTGAGTCTTGACAGGATGAAATGTTTTCAAAACAAATATTATAGTTGTATCTAAAATTCTGCAGCATCCCTAAATTACTCATCTCCGTAGTTATTATTAATATTATAAACATACCTCCTATACTAATATCTCAATGTTAACAATTGTAATCGTTTCTAACATTTATTTAGTGTTTATTCGTTTATTCATAAAATTTATCAACATTTTATGTCTCAGATTCAGAATCCTTATCACCGAAGCATGCTCCGTCATCAACCTCATCCATATCTTCATCAGGTGAAACGCACGTGTCGATACAGACTCCGACTGTGTCTAAAGTCATTGAAGATATTTTCGCTGTAAGTTCATTTTCATCATTATGATGACTAGTACCGTCATCATTGTCATCATTTGTACGATATTTTTGGCTTTTTGGAAGTAAACATACAGTGTGGTAATATTTGTGAAAAGTGTATATATTTAATTTTTTTACTTTCTTTCAACCATCAAAATATTGAAAAATAATAAAACAGACAAATTTTCGCTCCCTGCTGCTATCCCTTGGTTGCAACCGTAAAATATAACTAAAATGAATTCTACGTACAATTCAGATAATGAAACACGTTTAAAATCTATTTTTAGGCAATTTCACGTATTCAGGTAAATGTCCCAGTGGTTGACGCTTTTAGACGGAAAAATCACGTGTTTTGCCAAAAAAATAGTTCATTATGAGTCATACTGACTACCTAGGTATGTTAACATATTGAAAGGTGTGTCATTTATCTTATAGGAACTATATAATTTAAAATATTCCAATTATCCCCAACCTCTAAAATTGTACCAGTCTATGACAGACAAAATTTCTGATGTCCCAACGGTTGTCTATGGCAAAAATAGATCAGTGTACTAGTATTTTACAGGACATTGTGGTTGTCATAGTTATTTAATTCCGTTGATTACCTTTATAACAATAAATTTAAAGAAAGACAAAAGCCAAATTCAAGCAAGATGCTTTTATTAAAATTAATAAGTACATTTACAATAAGATTGCATAAAACCTAACACAAAAATTATACTTAAATGTCACACGATCATAAGATATTTATATAGTTTTAAATAACATTACTAAATAGTTTCATCTTACAGCGATAGTAATCCCTATAGATACTTAATCTTCCGAATAATGTAACACCCTTAGTGGCATTTTCTCATTGCACAATATCTTTAGGTATCAATACTTGAACTAGTGTCACGTCCTAGTGTTTAACACCTCAATATACGACTGTCAAGCATTAGGTCCCCATAGTAAAACAGTCTTCGATATTCATGGCAAACACTACTCAAACTACCCATAGATACTTGTCAATGGAGTAATCCAAACCTACGTTCTTTATCCTTACCAAATGGTCGAAATTAAGTTTTAAAAAATATTTCATTGTACGAGAGCTTGACATGGGTGTCAACTACTATCAAACGTTGAAATTTTGCACCAGTGTTTAACATGCCTCTAAAATAAAATATAAACGATATACATCAATAAATACACACAAAATAAATTCTTTGTACAATTGCCTAATAGTTTTAACGAACACTTGCAGATAATTAACGAAATTCCGACTAATAAATGCACTCAAACTACTTAAAGTCTTAAAGACTTTTTAAAGAACACCAACGCGCTTCCAACTTGGATCACCTGTTCGCAGAAATTTACGTCATACTGAAAAAATATTGAGTAAATCGAAGAAAGCTTTTAAGCCGAATACATATATATGCCATTACTAGTAAATTTAACACGGTTTTGGAGACATATCAATATTTGTTTTCTTATTTAAAGAAAAAATAAAGATAGAAGTGTCATACATTGGGATAGTGTCAAAGATTGGTACATTTACCTCATATATGGCTATTGGTGTGCCTTCATTCAACATAAAATACATTACTTAATCGTAGCTTAATATCTAAACTGATGATTTTATTTTATAAGTAAGGATGTATAAATTACGAAAATATAATAGTTTTCTATACCTATATCAACAAAAAGTAACTTAAATAGTGGTTTTAAATTGTCGAGGGCCCCCAAAGTCCAGCACCATGTGTACCTGAAGGGATTATTTAGTACAAAACTTAGAAAAAAATATTAACATAATATGTTAGGAATGTCCATGCACCTACTCGTATTATTTTTCGGTCGAATGCACTTATTTGAAACGTACCTTTCCATATTGTATGTTTACGTCCCTATTCGCACATTTTGAGAAATAACATTGTTATCGCTTTTACATCAATTTTTATTATCAGCTTTTAACTAACAAATTGCAGATGATATAATTATACTAATTATTTTGTGTGATCCGATAAATACGGTGACGACCTCAGTGGTTTTCACTGTGGACGCTGGACAAGGAGGACCAGGGTTTGAAATGAAAATTGGTTTTGGTCTGAGTGTTTTGATGCGTTTCTTTGCCTTGGTACTCAAAGCACAGAGAATTCTCTAGTTTCAGATCTGGTAATTGGCGTGGTTGTAAAAAAAAGGATATTTGTTTTATAAATTCAAGAAGAAAATAAGTTATTTAAAGTTATATTTAAAGGTTATGCTATTGATTTTAGTTTCAAATGAGAGGAAGTTACGAGTATGAAAATTATACATGTTGTGGTTTTTATGTGAAACTTGGAGTGGATGGATGTTTGAAAAGAAACTAGAGTAGCTTTGTTAAATTGCAGCTCGTCAATATAAAACAAATTAATTACAAATATAGCTATATGGCACTCGTCGTGACATCTGGTGTACCATAAATAATATAGTACCATAAAATATTCGAGTTATTTGGTCCATGCCAGTAGCTAACTACTTAAGCTACTAATAGCTACAGCAGAAAAGTTCGTCAAACCCTCAAACCTTAGGACACTAACTATATAATGGCATTCGCAAGAAATGAAATAAACGTATGAATGGAGATTCGAACAATGTTAATGGCAATGGAACGACACTAATGTTCTTACAAACAGATTTGTAGGTAAGGAAAAGGTATCGTCAGCCCTTTTAAGACGTATGGACCAATAATAGCAAGTAGTATAAAGGATTTTTTTTTTATAATATCAAGTGACGCGACGAACAAGTCGTGCGCCTGATGGTAAGTCGCACGCCTATCCATAACAGTTGCAGAGCCACTCAGAGCTTCAAATCGCAAAGATCTGAGGGGCACTGCCACTGCGTCCGTTACCATGAGACAAGTTGACAAGTCCTATGTGCCTGTAATTTCATCGGAGAATTATTGTATGTAGGTATAAAAACAATTTTAAACTTTTTGAAACACCTGAAACTGGCTAGAGATTTTGCAAATAAAGTCGTTATTGAATATTTTCAGCATTAGGCGCTAACCCGTTCATGAACATTAAATGGTACCACACACCAAAATGTCATTGCTTTTCTTCTTATTGAAGTCGACGATGTGGACTGTATGAAAATGGAGTGAAGAAGGCGACAGAAATGAGTACAAATATAGGAGAAACCCAATAGCAAAAACATATAATTCACGACACACTTTCACTGACAACCAACACGTCGAAAGTAATACAAAACAAAATTGCAGCAAAACATTCCTTTTTCTGTATCTAGAAAACATTCCATCTGAAAAACATTATAACAAAGATAAGAGTTCGCGACACTTATACTGATATAATATAATAATTACGCTTGATATAATACTGACGGCTGATCACGTCAACATTTTTGTATAAAACGATACCTCCAGTGAACACTAACCCAACTTAATTTTTTTTTTTTCGAATTTTGTTTTTGTTTCTTTTTTTCACAATTTAGCTTTATATTAGTAAATAAAATAAGGCTGTTGACATTAAACAGAAAATAACCAAAAAAATATTTTGACGTAGAGTTCATTGGAGGTATCGAAAAGAAAATACGGCTATGATAGTACATGATTGCCGTTGTGTCATATTGAATTAAGAAACATGCGTTTTAGTGAAGAAATTTGGTTAAAACTAACTTTTGATGTTAGAAAGTGCAATGACACTGACATGTACTTGTATCACCACATATAAACACATCAGTGTGCACGGTAGTGTGTTAATATAACGTCCACAATTATGTCCAAGTGAATCATTGAATACGTCATTCTGTCAGTACGTTGTCTCTATGGAGAGGCAGTAAGTGGCACTGAAAGTTCGTATTTAGTTATTTAAGATCCACATAGCGAAACGGGGTACCCCGTACTATCACATTCTGATATTCAAGTTTACGGTAAACGTCGTTATTGTCCATGAACGGGTTAAGGAGTGATATTATTTATAAAGCTTTTGACTTTTCACATAGAATATATAACCAGAAATAGAGACGAAATGTCATTTAATTTGTTTGAAAACTATTCTGCCATATTATTACTGTGACAACAGCGCTTCGATTGGCTAGGCCGAATTCGAAACAATTGACGGGTGTCGTCAACTGTTTCACTTCAAATCGACCAGTTAACGTGAACTTTGCTATAATTGATGAAACTTGCAAAATTACATATTTAATATTTAATTACCAATGATATGTGATTCCGTTTGTTTTGTAATTAGATGTTTTGCTTTTTTTATTACACCACCGAAAAGAACAGCACGGCATTGTTAGAGATATCATCTTTATTACAATAAATACAGAATATTTTTTGGAATATACGGAGACGTACACACAGGTCAGTACTTGGCCTGTCTATATTTCAGTGCAAACGAGAGTTGATATTTATAAGAGCTGTATCGCTAATGTGTTACCAGGAATATATGGCCCTTATTTCGTATCTATTTCTGGTTATATACTCGATGACTTTCCATAAACAGGTCAACTGTTCTATAGATTCTAAGGACAATTGAATTTATTCCTGTTCGAAAGTGTTTTAGCGAAGACGTTTATTTTTTGACGAATTTATCTTACAAGGTTTTCGCTTACATTCTGTACATACCACAGGGGCCAACACACAACCCGCCGTTGTAAAAACAGCTCTTTCATTTTTTATAAGCCAAACTCCTGGAGAGCAAAACCACAACGGCAGCCATGTGTTTAGCTGCACCTGCTTAGCTGTTGTTATTGATAATTCACTTCAACACGTGTGCTTTGTTTGGTTTTGTTTTGTTTTGTTTTGTTTTGGGGCAATAAAGGTATAACTGAGCTTAAAAGTTCTACTGGTTTGATGTTTGCTTTGGTTGCGGTTTGAATATTAGCAGTGGGTAAGTACTTTTATTTTTTTATTTGTAAAGCTTTACAAAGTTAAGAAAGGTAGTATGCTAATAATCTCGGTACTCAAAGTATACAGAGTACTAAAAAAAACGACCTCAAAAGTACGTGGAATTACATCTATTTGCCAAGTTTTGTTGAAATCGGTTACCGGAAAGTGTTAAAACCCGGATTCATCCGCTAGTTCGCCACTATACGGAACTTGACACAGGAGATAGTAAAAATCGGTTCTCACTACTCAAAGTATATTGAGAGAAAAACGCCTTGAATTGGAGAATAGCAAAATCTGGCATTGAAATAATTGCTCCTTATAATCAAATTAAGGCGCTATATGTAAAAATGAATCTTCATGCGTGAACATCCACCCATAGAGGTGGACGATTTTCTTCAAAATTAAATGGGACCACTATGAAGGTACCCTCTTTCCAACAAAAAAGAATCATCAAAATCGGTTCACAAATACCGGAGTTATTGCGTAACATACATATAAAAAAAAACATATAATCGAATTGAGAGCCTCCTCCTTTTTTTGAAGTCAGTTAAGAAGGTAAAACCAAGGAATCGAGAAAGATTCAGCAATATGCAAGAAATTGCTAAAATGTATTATATGTTATGACGACATCGGTGACCCAAATGTTTGCACTGTGAGCGCTGGGTGATGAAGTCTCGGGTTCGACTCCCGGTGGAACCAATTTGGGAAATTAATTTTTCTAAATCGGTTTTGGTAGTACCCCGAAACAGCCTTCGTAGCTCTGGTATTCATAGTACGGGGAATCCAATTTAAATTGTCTCAGTTGTGTATCGATATGGCAGGATTTTGTACAGTTGGTATACTGCTAAAAGTTGCAGAGAAGTGGCTGGCGATCGAGTTACTATATAACTAGGTACCATAGCAATTTTTTGACATTCTGCTCTTCAATGGCAAGTCGATCAAAACATGTAAAGCACTATCTAGTATTTATTGATAAAAAATTATTTCCATATATTCCTTCTAGATGGCGTACGTATACTTTCTTCTGCATATTGTTGGTTCTATATTTAAAAGTAAAGAAATCACTTATTGTTGTGGTTACTTTCAAACACGGAACCTACAATATAAATAAAAAAAGATAATATAAAAAATGTTATTTTGACTTACAACAATTTTCGTGGGGGGTATTCAATCCAGTGAATTTAATGAATAATTAAGAATATGTGTAAATTTTTTTCAATGTAACTTTTAAATAAGTATCTGAAGTTATTATTTATTTCCTTAGAAACAAAGAAAAAAATAATTTCACGTAGTGTTCATTGGAGGTATCGAAAAGAAAGTACGGCTATGACAGTATATGATTGCCGTTGTGTCATATTGAATTAAGTATCTAAAGTTATTATCTATTTCCTTAGAAACTAATAATAAAACGAACGCCCTATTAATTTACTGGTTAGGTGCAACAAGGACGGTTAACATAAGGAAATAAACAAAAAATATTTTCAAATGTTTCTAATTATTTTAAAATAATAATAACACCTAAATCATTTAGCTAAACCATAAGACAAATAAATAATAAAGTATATAAGAGTCATGTTACAAATATTAAAAAGATATGACATTAAAAAATTTATTTTAATTATCTCGAATCTCATTTTTACGTGAAATGCCCTTGTTACACCCAATGCTTCAATTATAATTCTAAAGTTGTGAGATAAAAGTTAAAATATGTATATTTCCATAATAGTTTTAGCAAGGCAACATCGATCGTCAGTGATTGAAAGAATGAATGAATGAATGCCATTCCAATGCCACTACATTGAGACTCAACAATATTATCATAATTGTAATATAATCTCAATGGAGTCTCATTGGAATTACAAGAAAATTAGTAGAATTTGGGCCCTGGTAATTGGTGTGGTTGTCTAGCATAGGTATTATTTATTATTTTGTGTAAATATTGTTAACAATAGATTAAAATACTTTTTTATTTCCCTCTAGATTCCAATTAACACACTGGGAGCAGTGAACAAATTCCTTGAAAACAACGTTGGTACCAGAAAAACCGTAGAGGTAAAGTCATTAAAAGAGTTTGATTAATTAAAATGTTAACATAGGTTTTGTACAACAATAAAATTACAAAGTTAATAACAACATTCGTATAGTCATGTAGTTATAACTATAGTAAAAATGAGCATAATGAAACTTGGTTTGAAAAGTAAACATTTTCAAACATTGAAAACATGTGAGGTTGCACTTTTTTAATATTTACCGTGTGGAATTCCTGGTTAAGTTTATTTTAATTTGTTTCATGGAAAGCTTTTCCCGTGAGAATAAGTTGTGTAAAAGCAAGTTGTTTGAGTCACGTTTGAATGTAATGTAGGTTCGAATTTTGGAACTGTTTATTTTATAATAGAAATAGTTTAATAGGAGTGTTGGATTTGATAAAAAAATTATGTGACATGCTTAGATAAAAATTGGACTCAGTAGGAGGCCCTGGGGAACACCTTTCAACACGATGTGATTTTAGTATAACAACAAGAGAAGTTATGTATTAACATAAACGTCTTGGTGAAAGAAAATATCTTGAGGAGTTTATCTATGTAAAGACACAACTCTTCGGATATGAATGTAGTTGCCGATTCGGATTTGGCCAGGGTAGTAAACTGTCCCAAAACCTTCATCGTGGGAAGTGTTTAGGGTTCTTACACATAAAAACGATGTTGCGTCGTGCTACGACGCGGCATCGTTTCACGATACGACATCGCAACGTGTCACGACACACGGTACGACGTCGTATCGTAGAAACTCACGGTGCCACATTCATTAGTTATTCAATATTCAAAGGTGACTTTGTAGTCTTCTGATGTTTTGTCCCATAGTACAGGACGCTCTTTGACTAGGGTTATAAAACAATGAACCTCAATGTCGTCTGTCATCTTTGAATATTGAATAACAAATGAATGTGCACTGGGGAGCGCACCGTGAGTTTCTACGACTCGACGTCGTGCCGTGCGTCGTGATGTGCACGTTGCGATGTTGTGTCGTGAATTTTTACGTTGCTCGTCGTAGATTTCCACGATACGACGTCGCATCGTGAGACGATGCCACGTCGTGACACGACGCGACGTCGTATCGTGTTTATGTGTTAGGGCCCTTAGATTGATACAGTAATAATAATAATAACACACTCAACATAGCCCCGCATTAGGGAAACTCTGTGTTGCGGGTGCCATGGACACACACATAGACAACCACAAATAACACCCAAAGTCACGAGAGAGATAAATGTAGGCCATGCAAATATTTCTCCCGGCCCGGGAATCGAACCTGAGACCTCTGCATGGCAGTCTGCACGGCATGTTAACCGTTCGGCCACAGAGGCAGTAAAACACAGGACGTAATTACAGTGCAGTACAAGGTTTTTGTTACTAGCTGTACCCGGTATGCATTGCAACGCCATTGAAAGAAAAAACTGTTTGCCTAAACGCCTTTTCAGCTGTAGATACATTTGTTGAAACAAAGTTGTAATATTTCAGAAACTTTAGCGGGTGTGGACACAAGAACTCATAAAAGTTTTACCGCAATCGGATGAATAATAATAGAACGTATACGGGACAAATACAAATATATATATAGATTGTGTGGAATTATAATAATTATGTTAAAAATACAATATACGGAAATATTTTTTTCGGATCTAAATCGCGTTATTTTTCAAATAAATGAACGTTTTGAGTTCTTTCCAGATGTCATAAGACCGAAATACTCGTTTTAGATCAGAAAAAAGTAGTTACAATTTTCATTGTGTAGCAATCGCACGACGACGAAACTTAAGTCGAATGGTCATGTCGTGTCCAACCCTATAACAGTGGGAACCTCTACTCTCGAAGTTGTTGACGAGTATGTCTATCTCGGACAAACCGTCCAATTAGGCAGGGCCAACTTCGAGAAAGAGGTCAATTGTCGAATCCGACTCGGTTGGGCAGCTTTCGGGAAGCTCCGGGACGTCTTCTCGTCCGCAATACAGTGTTGCCAGCGATGTCCTACGGCTCTGAGACGTGATCACTTACTATGGGTCTCATAAAAAAGCTCAAAGTCACTCAACGAGCTATGGAGCGAGCAATGCTTGGCATTTCTCTACGTGATCGAATCAGAAATGAGGAGATCCATAGAAGAACGAAAGTCTAATAACTCGAAGAATTAGCAAGTTGAAGTGGCAGTGGGCAGGGCACAAAGCTCGTAGAACTGACGGCCATTGGGACAGAAAGGTTCTTGAATGGAGACCATGAACCGAAAGGCGTTCAGTGGGACGGACCCCTACTAGATGGACGGATGACCTGGTAAGGGCGGCGGGTAACCGATGGATGCACGTCGCGTCCGATCGGCTGATCTGGAAATCTTTGGGGGAGTCCTATATTCCTCTTCCGGCTGATATGATGATGAGCAATGGCAAAAACGGAATAGTTCGAAATATATGTATATACATGACGTTACACGGCTATTTAGTATTTCCATGCATCCAATAGGAGGCGAATTTAATATTTGAAATTGTAGGTACATTGGCAGTTTCAAGTTTACCTTTTTAAATAAATTGTACGTTTTTTTGTAACTGAACGGTGTTCCTTTAAATGAAGATACTATGTTATTAACAAGGAATTAATCCTTGATCGGTTCAATTCTCTGATAAGTTTATATATGATAACTTTTTAAGCAAAAGTATTGAATGAGCTATTACTTTTTAAAAATAAAATAATATATCTTTGAAGCAAAATGTTCTACCTATCTACAATATTAAACTACTTTCTCTTCATATCCAACTAGCCTTGAAATGCTCTGTGTATTACTTCCATGTGTTATGTATAAATATATACTTTATGAATATTTTAAATGACTGCCGGTACATAACCATCTTATTATCTACATCTAGTAAATCCACGAGTACATAATGTTCCATGTTTGTGATTTAAAAAACTGATTTTTTTATCCATTACATAGATATCTGGAACAGAAGATGTGGAGCCAGCGAGAGTGAGACTTGGACCTCATGCCAGAAGGAGAGCGAACAAACGCGTCGTAGTGGTGCAGGAGAACAATGACCAAGTTAAGGCCGAAGTGCCTCCAGCTAACATAGCTGAACCTCAAAAATCTTAGTGAATTTTGGACTGATTGTTTCTATTCCATTTTTTTCTATACAATCCGTATAGTACAATACAATGTATATAAATTTGGGACCTTTATAATTAACAAGTCTAGTTATAATATCATACTTTAAGTTTGAATTGGGTGGCGAATCTCTGAAGTAATAGAATCTGTATTCGAAGCCAGGACATTTTTAATTTTGTTAACAATTTCTTCGCCACTTGGTGACAAACACATAAAAAATTGTGATATCTGTAACCTCTTGTTATATCACAAAATGTATAATAATAATAGTGCATTATAAAAAAGAAACATCTTTAGTACTTATAGTGTGTAAAAGCATAATAGAATAAGACCAAGTAGGATAACTCCATATAAACATACACATTTGCATAATCATGCGAATGCACCAATTCTATAATGAATGGCGCGTGGACATCCGCGCTATGCAACGCAAGTGTACAGCGAGATTTTACGAATGTGTGCATCCGTAAGTCGCGCGGCAGACGTGCACATATACAAGCTACATACATACAACAGACTTTTTTTATTTCAGTGAAGCAATTTGCTTTTTAGCTCCGATATTTATCGAGCCAACAGATTATATAATGAAGATTATTCAGTAGCTAAATTTTGGTAGATAATAAATTATAATGAAATCAAATAAATTATTAATGATAAAAGTAAATTCTTAATGTTTATTATAATGAATCGTCGGAGTCTTCTCCATTTGAACGGGAATCATCACTTGAATCCTCAGTAACATTCATTATTAATTCTTGAGTAGGTACACAAAGTTGTCAAACGCAATATCAGGATCCCAATCAGACAATATCTTTTTTTAACCCTCTACATTCACGTTTAAAACTTATTCATAAATAAAATCGATTATTACAAAAAACCGAATCGGAAACGCATTAGCGCATCAAAAATAAAATAAATAGTTAAAAGTAAAATAAATAGTTGGACGGAGTATAAGTATGCAATTACCCTGCTTGGTCTAATTTTACCATGGCAATAGTGACATTGTAATTATTTGTATACTTATTTTAACTATCACTTATCAGTTTTATAGGTAAATATACTTAGTACAAAGTGGTATATAATAATTTCATTATTGTGAAATATATTGTTTTAATTAGGTTACCTTAACTATATTCATTGTTTATTATTAAGTGTAAGTTGTAATTAGTATTGCATTTTTTTATCTGTGATTAGTTGCACATAAAAAGTACAAAAAAAGAATTTTGACCTTTTATTTTTACCGGTAACTACTTAGTGTAACAATTTTACATTTATTAGTATGGCAATACTGCACACGACGAGTTGATTAGAAAAGTGACACAATTGTACGAATTGTTGGAGATTAAAATAAAATTCTAAAACTGAGGTGCCTTGTTTCAATTCAATCGTTTTATTAGTGACATAAATTACGATATTTAAAAAAACTACATTGATAATGTTGAAAAGTGGATTTCAAAAACTTATATACAGGGTGTCCCAAAACTCAACGTCTAGCGGTCACTGGGCGAGAGGCCAGGTTATATCAGTTCTCGTAAAAATAAAAAAAAAATCCATGTCACTTAGTTAAGTGATAATAGGCATTTTTTTGAAAATGTTGAAAATCGATAACCTAGACCACATGTTTAGGTATTGTCATCACAAATTTTCAAATTTTGGAGTGATTTTTTTTTACGTCGTCATAAATAACCATGCTATTTATTGCAGTCACAAATCAAACAATAAACGAATAAGTTTCATTAAGTCGTAGCTTAAAAAAATTTTGAACCATTTTGAAATCTTGATTATATGGGCCATCTTTTAAAATAACTTGCCCAGGGTAGTGTAGTACATTTTAAAAAAAATATGAAGTGTCAAAGCTAGCTGACATATTTTTTTGAAGCTACGACTCAATGAAACTTATTTTTTTTAAATAAACTCATAACGTTTATTGTTTGATTTGTGACTGCAATAAATAGCATGGTTATTTATGATGACGTAAAAAAAATAACTCCAAAATTGTGGTCTAGGGTATCGATTTAAACATTTTCAAAAAAAATGCCTATTATCACTTAACTAAGTGACATGGATTTTTTTTTAATTTTTACCAGAACTGACATAACCTGGCCTCTCGCCCAGTGACCGCTTGACGTTGAGTTTTGGGACACCCTGTATGTGTCGATTATAGATATGTCGATAATTCGAAGGAGAAAATAATTATAAACCATGTGAATAATTTTCTTTTTTTTTATAACATCACGTGACAATCGTGTGTAAAAACATGATTCCTAAAAATTTTCGCTACAGAAAAAAGAAAACACGAACTTGCCTCGAAATTTTACAAGAAAACCGCTGAATTCAATAGGTACTTTACGTATGGACAGGCGTTTATCTTACCATCAGATGCACGACTTGTTCGTCCCGTCACTTGATTTTATGAATAAAATAAAATATAAATATACCAGTTTTTTTACAAGAACTGAATTAAATGGATCACGTATAGCATACGATACACATTTATACAATTATATACATACATATAGATACATTTTCAAATGGCTTTAATTTCGTTTGTATAAGTATAAATTCTGAAATAAAGCCGGTGTCCACGCCGCTCGACCCAAGTAAAATTAACCGTATTAGTACGGGAAATATTTCAATTCGAGCGGAGGTAGTGTCGACTCTTAAAACCGACGACCGTATGCCATCAGTGTGGCTGCCAACCCTGTCAAAGTCAACCCTGACCGCAGTGGTAGGCACGACCTCTCCCTGCCGAGCGGGAGCGAAAGGAACGCTCTTCCTCTCATCGTTTAGGGTGCAGGCGGCTGGCCTATTTGGCCAGTTGCCGCCCTGACAATGAACCCTGAGTGGCAAAACAGGGGCTTTGTCACCCACTGGATAAGGATTCACGGGTTGGTTGGCGTGGCAAGTATTTGCGCCCAAGGAGCACACTTTATACGCCTTAAAACTGTTATATCTATAAACAGTCTTAATATGGTATAGATTTGGATAATAGTTCTCTATAAATGGTTTTAGAAAAAAGAAATTGTTCTTTTATTTATTTATTTATTTATTTATTTTCAAGGGATAAAAAACAATCGTACACGATTTATACTTACAAATAGTATTAGTACATAAATAATATAAGTACACGTACAATCCACAACATTATCCACAAATTACTCTAAATTTTTAAACAAAGTTGCTGCGTGTGATCGGCAAGGCATTAAAAAACAAAAAACAAAACATTAACATAAAAAAAAAAGGAAAAACTATACAATTAGAAAATACAAAAATAAACAAATTAGCTCATGGCATCAATAACAGCTTTTTTAAATTTATAGGCAGGTAAGTGAAATAAGTCTACATTAATAAACAAATCATTGTATTGAGAAACTATACGGCGTAGAGGAACTCGCTCACCCGCATTTGTTCTACAGCGCGCCGCATAAAACAACGGGTAGGCTCGCGCCTCTCGCCGACAAGCTCTCGCAGGTATATTAAAACTAATGCTTTGTACAAGATTCGGGCAGTCGATCCAATTGTTACAAAGTCTATGTAGTATTACAGCTTGAAGAAGCATTCGTCTATTATAAAGTGATAGCATTCGAAATTTGGACAGTAAACTGTTGTATGGCACAATCGTTCTAAATATCTTGTAATTTACTGATTTAAGAAATTTTGATTGAATTTTCTCAATTTTATCTGTGTATTTCTTGTAGTAAGGGTCCCAAACAGAACATGCATATTCAACTTGAGGTCGAACCAAACTAATGTAAAGGTAGATATAAGTTGATAGGCGAGAAAAGTCAGTGGTCGTTCTCATGACAAATTTATACAATCTAAATCCCTTGGCGACGATAGAGTCAATATGTAGGTTGAGGTGTAATTTACTGTCTAAGATTACACCGAGGTCACGAAGAGAATCCACCACTGTTAATGGATTATTACTTAAAGTATAACTATATTTAAATATATTTCTTTTTTTGGTAAAACGAATACTTTTACATTTGGGGATACTTAGCTTGAGTTTATTTAAATCACAATAACGAGCTAAATGGTCTAAATCTTTCTGCAATAAAGTACAGTCATATTGACTAGTAATGCATCTATAAATTTTTAAATCATCAGCATATAAAAGAAAGTTAGAGTGCTGAAAACACATCTTAATGTCGTTTATAAATATAATAAATAACAACGGACCCAAGATGGACCCCTGAGGTATACCTGATGTCACATTAATTAAGTCAGATTGAAACCCATTAACAACAACTCTCTGTGAGCGATTACAAATGTAGGAAGAGAACCAACGGAGAAGATTCCCCCGAATACCATTAAACGCAATCTTGTCAAGTAAGAGCTTGTGGTCCACTTTATCAAAAGCCTTCTGGAAATCTGTATATACAGCATCAACTTGGTCACCGTGGTCCATACTTTCAAAAACGAAGCCAGTAAATAATAATAAATTAGACACAGTTGATCTACGCTTAACGAAACCATGCTGTTCGGATATTATGAGGGAACTCAAGACCGGATACAATTCATCGTGGACTAACTTTTCAAATATCTTTGCCAGTGTACAAAGAATAGATATAGGTCTATAGTTCTCGATATTCTGCTTCGAGCCATTTTTATAGACCGGAATTATGTTTGCACACTTCCATTTTACTGGAAAAGTACCTTCAGCCAGGCATTTATTAAAAATTGTATATAGTGGAGATGCAAGAAACCTGGCTGTTGATTTTATAAAAATTGGCGGGAGTCTGTCTGGGCCAGGTCCCTTATGTACTTATTTCACTCAAGACAAAATTTTAAAAACTTCTTAATACCAAACATCTAAATTAAGTGTAATCTCTCTTAAGATTTACTCTTGCAGTCCTTATTTTAAGTTTATCTATAGAACAACTGATTATGTTTAGTAAAATTATTCTATATATATCTAGTAAAATCTATTAATACTCTAAAACTAGTGTTCTTAAGTTCTAGATATATTTAATTTATAAACATTCTGTAGTGTTCGTACTTATGACAAACACGTTATAGCGCGTCTTCAGTAGATTTTATTTACAAAAATACTACAATTATGGATTTTACTCTATTGGTCGTTGTAAGAGTTCATGCAAAATGGATAAAGTAAAGAATATTAAAAGATCCTTGAACCGTGAACCTTGGATATTAAGTCACATCATTCGATACAATCAGCGTTGCCAATGCCAATTGTTCAAAATCCCCAAAAATCACGGTTAAAATCCCCAAATTTGGGGAGAACAAAGTTCATATTCCCTACAAATTCCCCACATCTCGAATTTTCATTATTTATTAGAAATACATCGCTTAAAAATACAATAAAGAATTAAGAAACTCAAAATGTAATAATCTATTACGTTTGCTGTGAATGTAAACAGAATGTAAAATGTAAAACTAATTATAAAATTAGATGACCTTAAATCGTTTATTTATTTTAATTAGATTCAACATTAATCTGTAATCAGTCTTTAAAAAAAATCATTTTTCTTTGCCTTACAAAATTAAGTAAATTGATTATTTGTTGTGCATTTGGTGACACTATGTTAATGTTACAAATA